CTGGATGGAAGCGAGAAGACCAGCCCCACGCTGCAACGTCAGCAAGAGAAAAGTGACGAGACGAGGAAGCCCACGACCGCGAGCTGGTATTTGACGGGGCTGGGTTGTTGGTCTAGCGGTCGGCAACTGCAGCCCGCAGAGGCAGGACGACGACCAAGAAGGGGGAGGACGGGCCGAATCTGAGATGTGCGTGCTCCCCTCCCTCTCCATCCCTGAACTTCTGCCTTAGCCTACTTCCACTGCTAAAACCACTGCTCCGTGATACAACGACAAGGCCACTGGGCGTTTCGTGGCCTGTGCATTCGTATGCTAATTGAGCTAAAGCACGATCGACGCCACGACGACGATAACGACTAGCGCGTCTGCCAGAAAAAGCGCAGCTCAGCAACTGTTTCATGTTCAGCCCTTTCACGAATAGTTCGTTTGCTTGTTCCACATGAACTAAATATCAGGTGCGCCGATCCCAACATCAAGCAAACTGCTTTACTGTCCGCTTTGCTTGCTTATGGGAGCTCCATACGAAACATGCCGATCCGCACACGCAGCAGAATGTCATGTTCGATTTGCTTGTCAATGGACATTAAATCGGAAGCCCGCCGACAACAACCCCCCCCCCGGCAAAACTGTTCAATATTCTACTGCCAGTGAGAATTCAGTCGGAAATATTCCGACCCCCGCCCCCAGCAGAACCCGATATGCGATGGTCTGTTCACTGAAAACTCACTTGGGAACCCGCCGATTCCAGCCTCCAGCAGAAATCTGTAATATCAGATCTGATGTTCGAGAGGAACTCAATAGAAAATGTGCCGATCCCAACCCCCCGCAGGATTCTGTAACTTTTAGTTGCTTGCCAATGGGAGCTCAATCGGAAAGGGCGCCGATCACAACACCCCGCAGAATTGAAAAACCTTGGATTTGTTCGTCGATACGAGTTCAAGACGAAAAAGCGCCGATCCTAAACCCCCCGCAAAATTCAAGAATAGTCGATTTGCTTTCCAATGGGAATTCAATCGAACACACGATCCCAGCCCCCGGCAGAATTCCTGAATACCATATTCGTTAATCAAAAGAAGTTCAATAAGAAATGCTCGGATTCTTGCCTCCAGCGGAATTCTCCAATCACCTGAACTGTTGAATACCCGATTTGATGTTCAAGAAGACTTCAATAGGAAATTCGCCGGTCCAACCCTCCCACACGATTATGTAATACTTGATGATACCGGAGAAAAACCCCAATCATAATCTTTTTAGGGCTGTAGGGCTATATGGGCTATAGGGCTATTGGGCTATAAGGTAATAGAGCTACAGGGCTATAGGGCTATAGGGTAAAGGGCTATAGGGCTATAGGTTTATAGGGCTATAGGGCTATAAGGCTATAGGGCGATAGGGATATAGCGCTATAAGGCTATAGGGCTACAGGGCACCAGGCACCCGGCACCCGGCACCTGGCACCCGGGCACCCACCCGGGCACCGGGCACCCGGCACCTGGGCATCCGGGCACCCGGCACCCGGCATCCGGGCACCCACCCGGGCACCGGGCACCCGTCACCCGGGCACCCGGGCACCCGGGCATCCGGTCACCTGGGCCCGGCCACCGAATCGGCGGCGAACCCGGGCACCCGGGCACCCGGGCACCCGGGCACCCGGGCCCAGCCACCGAATCGGCGGCAAACCCGGGCACCCGGGCACCCGGGCACCCGGGCACCCGGGCACCCGGGCCCGGCCACCGAATCGGCGGCACACCTCACCTACCCTTAAATCCGCTAGAACCCCTACAGAGGCAAGCTCTGATTGGGGAATATGCTTGGCCGTAAGAACTCAGATAGAAGAAAGCGCCGACCCCAGCCACCCGCATAATTCTTGAATGTTCGACGCGCTGGCGTATAGCAATTCAATCGGAACGCGAGGATCTCACCACACGGCAGAAGTCTTTAATATTATATACGATTTGCCACAAGAAAGTTATAAGATATAAAACGATCCGTGCGTCCCACAGAGTTGTTGACTGCACGATTCGTTGTCCACCTGGAATTCAATAGGAAATGTGCACGTCGAATTGAGGAAACATTGGGACAACGACTGCTTGTTCAACGAAGAAACTCCCTGTAAGGACTCAACCAAAAAAATGTTCAAACTTGATCGGGGGTTTGGGGGCGTCGGCCTGGGAATCCACTGAAAGTCAGCTAAATTGTGACCGACAGAGCGGAGGAGTTCCCTGTGACAACATATGAGGCGGCCGTTGCGTGTCTGGACGCGTCGGTTGAAGATCAGGGCGTCGATTGCGTGCTGCATCCATGCCGGCATCTGCCACTGGTATAAAGGAGTCGGCCCATCCGCCGAAGGGAGACTCTCTCGAAGGCGTTGTTCTGGTCGCGGAAAACAACTGCAGCTGTGGGCGCAGACCCGACGTTGCCGAGGGTTTGTTGGATGCAGTCGCTGGCAGCGCGCTGGCAGGGGCCGAGGCGGGCCCCCCAGGCGCCCCCAGGTCCGGGGTCGGGAGAGGGGGGGGGGCCGAGGTGGGTGGTGACGCGAGTGATGCTTGGGCCACACTGTCCTCCTCTCTTGGCCGCCTGGCGGGGGCTCAAGAGGGGCTCGGCGGCCAGCCCCAATCGGCCAGCGAGGGTGGCGCCAAAAAGGCGGACCAGGCAGGTTGGGAGTTGCAGGGGCCCCACGTCGCTGGGGCGTGCCAGGCCTGCGCGGGGAGGCAGGAAACGACGCGGGACCCCGGATGGTAAACTTCGCAGGGCTCGCCATCTACCCCGGGGGCACTGCCGCTGGGGGCGAGGACAGCGGAAGCAATCCGGCCCCAACCGGGGGAGGGGGTCCCAAGGAGCTCGACTGGCCCTTTACCACGGAAATGCCACGTCAGAATGCGCTCAGCGGTGGTGGGCATCGCTGGACCGGTCTGCCAGATAGGACTCCGGCTACCCCAGAGGACGCGGTCGACATTGGCAGGTTCGTCGCGCCAGGTCCTGTTGGGGGAGCGGACACCAATGACAGAATGGGCTTGCACGAAGACCTCGCGACCAGTTCTGTAACGGGCGGCGAGGGGAGGGCGTTCCACTCCAGGCCCTCCTTGCCACGGGGTGAGCCAGCCTGCTCGGCGCCGGAGGCTCTCGGCCCCGTCGCCGGAGCCATCGATGCGCCTCGCAGGCAGGAAAATCACGCCCCTCCCAGCCGCATTCAGTGAACCGTCCGGCGAGCAAGCCAGCGGGGCGAGAGGCCTCATTATACGCAGGGCGGCGGAGGCGAGGAGCCCGCCGGGCTCCAGCCCACCTCTGCGTCTCGGCCGATGGGCCCACCAATCCTGGAGTGCCGCAGAAAGTGCGTGCCGGCCCAGGACCAGGAGGGCAGCCTCCTCCCTCCTCCCTCCTCCCTCCTCCCTCCTCCCTTCTCCCTCCTCCATGAGTGGAAAGGGGGAATCGTCACCGACGTTAGGTGTGACTCTGGTGGTCCTGTGGTTCGACCTCGGCGTCGCCGTCGTCGCTATCGGCGTGCCGGTCGGGAAGGGCGCCCGGTGCCGCGGGGCGGCGGACCCAGTCGGGCGGCTGGAGCCCGTCCGCGAGGTCAGCGCAAGGGACGCTGAAGGTACCCTCCAGGAACATATAGACGCGGCGGAGGTCAGCGCGGGCCGAGGCGGGGAGTGCTTTGAGTCGAGCGGCGGTCGGCGCGTCCAGGCGACGGGTACGCGCGCCCCCTTCGGGGTCAAAGAAAAGGACGGCGTGGTCCGAGAGCGAGGGCTTCCAAGCCTTCCAGACCCTGTAGGCGCAGACCAGGGGCAGGGGGCGAGCAACCATGTCACTCTGCGCCTCGTTCTCCCTGTCTGCTCTGGTCGGGCCCGCAATGGGGGCGGGGATGACGCCGCGGCTTTCCAAAAGCGCGGGCAAAAGAGATGCCTCCTCCAATTCGCCCTCCCGCGGGCAAGAAAGCTGGACGTTGACATCGCCGCCCCAAAACGCGAGGGTGGCGCCCCAATCCTCTGCGGCTTCATTCAGGGCACGAATGGCATTGGCATTGTGGCCTGGCGGACGGCTACGCCCGCGCGATGGATAGTGGCGAACACAGCGCACCCAGGGATAAGCGCCCCTGATTTGATGGGGGGGTGGCCGCGGGGGAGGACGACGGCAACTCCGCCGGCGAGCCCCCCGCCGGGGCCGGCGAAGGCAGGCGATGCAACGAGCATTCGGGCCGGGAACATGGTGCCCCACAGAGAGGTCTCATGCTCGGACCAGTGGGCTTCCTGCAGAAAGGCAATCCGACCGCCAGAGGAAATTCGCGAAATGAGGGCGTGCTTGATTTGGTTCTTTGGGGCCGCGGTGTTGCGCAGGTACCCGACGCTCCACGATGGTAGCTCAGGGCGGCCCGGGGTCGTTGCGCGGGCCAGCCTGGCGCTGAGGTCGCCAACTGCGACTTCCAGGCAGGGCTCGTGCCACGCGGAGCCGCGCCAGGGAGAGCGGCGCAAGACGGCCCAGAGGGCGCGGGGGGGCCGAACGGAAGAGACGCGCCGCGCCGCGAGGAGGGAATCGAGCTGACGGACAGCGCGGCGCCAGCATCTCCCAAGCGAAGTGAACCCCACCCTCCTCCTCAGAAATCGTGGGGGGTATGGGGTAGGGTTCGCATGTGGCCCCCTAATCGGGACTTGACAGAGGGGACAAGCTGGAGGAGGGGGGGGCCCAGGGCCTGGCACAGCGTCCCGGGGTCAGTCGGACAGTCCGGGGGAACGGCGATCGACGTGCGGGGAGGGTTTCTGGGAGGTCCCCGCTCGCCTGCCACTGCTGAAGGACGTCGTCGGGAAAGGGCGCATGGACAAGGGGGGCAAAGGGTGCATGGGTGCGTGCGTAGGCTCGGGCCTCGTGGAACGCCTCAACGAGCGTGGCCTCGCTGGGGGGGCGCGGGGAGACCCCGCGGGGGGGCTGCGCTCCCCCGAAGGGGCCCTGCATGGGAGGCTGTCCGGCCCATATCAGCATAGCTCCCAGGAGACGCTGATGTATGGACCTCG